GGGGGAGCGAGTCGCCCGCTCCCGTGAACAACGCCTTATCAGCTGGTTTCCATCGGCAAACAGAAGCGAAGGAAAATCGTCCAAAGCCCGCATCGCGTCCGTATTGTGGTATCTCCTCCCACGTGTAGTGTCCCGGTTGTCAATAAATTGATAAATGCTCGGCGCCTATCGCTTGAGCCCCCGTTTGTTATCGAGAATCAAATTTAATGATGCCGGCGCTGGCGTGGCGATGGGGCGGGCTCTCGCGGCGTGCAGCGCGACGGAGGACGTGCATCGCCGATGTCGGCGCTATGCGTCCGAATACTCGTCCGTCCGTCCGTTCGTTCGTTGGCCAATCTGACGAGAGCCGCGCTGGGGCGAACTGGAAGAGACACCTCGGTCGAACGAAGCAACGTAGGAGAGCTGAGGTGGGATATTTCCGATTATCCGATTATTTTAAAGTGTTCGATTATTCTACATCGGTGGCTCGAAACACTTTTGATGCGGTGGTGCCCCCCCCCCTCCCACAATCAAGACCACGGTGCCACCAGAGAGATCACACATGCATTGCTCTAGTCTCCTGCACAGTATCCATTCCGTAGTGTATGCCTCACCCTAGTGGGGGCAGGGGTTGCCCACACAGGTTACAATATATCGTAGTGTCGCCATATCGCAGCAGCAACCCTCCCCCCGTGGAAACCCGGCCCCGGCAATCATCGTTCCGAGTTTAAAAGTCCATCGCTGTTGTGTGTGGGGTGCTTGTGGGAGGGGGGGGGGGCACTCTGAAGTTGCGGTGAGGACCTTGTTGAAGCTAATGCAGTTACACGTTACGGGATCGTTTCATTATTTCTCCCCCCCCCCCCCCCCCCCCCCCCCCCCCCGTTTGGAGGCCGTTGGTTCGTTTTTCGCGGTGTTTTGCGCGCCGATGAGCCTGGCGCCATTTGCACCGTCGTGACCTGCCGCGGCATGGAACGTAGGCACCATTATGCTCTCCACTTCACTCCGAGGCGCTGGAATGACCTCTCGGGCATTTACACCGTCCATGTTTGGAACCGTGCGGAATGGCTTCCCGGCTTCCCGGCTCCGCGGCTTCGAACGTCTGCCGCCCCCCGGCATTAATGTAGATGAACGTCGACTGTTCCGTTACGCGGATGTCTGTGGGAAAAATAAAGAAGATCTTCGTTGCTCATCGGATTTCTCCAGGATGAAATTAAAACAAAAATTCTGATTGCAAAGCACGGAGGTGGCCAGATGTCTCAGAGGTTGGGGCACTGAGCCAGCGCTGCTGAGGTATCCTGGTTTGAATCCAGGCCTGTGATTAAACTGGATTCCACGACGTAGCGAGTTATAGGTCGCAGCCCGGTCATCAATGGCGCCCCAACAAAAATCACTATATGAAAATTTAATTTTAAAAAACGTTATGGATTAATTTGGCTAAATTCCAACTCTGAGAAGGGAATAGTCTTACTCTAATGGGGGCAGACGGAAATCTCGTAACAAAAGTGCACATCCCCCTGCCTTTGGTAAGCATTGACAGGTCACTTGAAGGATCTGTTTTTCGGAAGAACTTCTCTCAAATTCTCTTGCGCAGCCATCGTTGGACCCGCCCACGGGGAGATTTCCGAATGATTGTTTTGTCCGATCACGTGCCCACCGACAGCGCTTCGTGAAGAAAGTTTGTAAAAAAAAGAGCACGCGTTATTTTTTAGGAAGGGGAAAAAACAAATCCGTGGCACAGGGGTCATTTTTTGTTTTGACCTGACACAAACACAGACCGCACAGAATAAGAAGGAGAGGAATAAGACCACCTGGATTTGCTCTGTGCATCTGGGGAAAACATTTTGATGAAAACCAAAGCCAGAGTTGAATGCTTCACGACAGAATACCATAAAGACATCCACGTGCCCCTTTGAGCGTAAGAGCACAGGGAAAAAAATGCAGGTGGCATTTTGCGCTAGCAACGTCACTTTTTCTCCAATGCATTTCTCTGACTGGTCATTTATGCGTTTGTTTATTTCTTTGCAGTGGACGGAACTCGCTATGTTATTGTTTTCAGCGGGGTTTTTTTGTCGATGACTTATGCTCTGAAGCTGCCCTCTTGAATGCATTTGAATAATGGCTGAGATAATGTGAAGTATCTATTTTAATAAGTTCTGTATGTTACCAGAACCGCACAGGGGAGTTGTGACGTCACACCTCACATGACATCAGCAACCTTCTGCCGGATGATATAATTATTATTCAACTTTCATTTGTATCGCTTCATGTATTCTATCGCAATCCCACCACGAGTGAATCTATAGACGTGAGCAATTATTGCGCGTTTGTAGATAAACGCACCAATTGAACCCAGCACCTCCGATTAGTGCGGTTGGCTACGTAATGTTGCAAAAGAAGTTAATCAAACACACACAAAACAAGCGGCTAGCATCTTTTCCCCTCCGAAGAAGGGAAGATGCCCAAGGATGCACGTCCACAACGGAGATGGAGTTACGAAATCAACTCACGATGCGCAGGTGGTAGATGGATTTTTGCATCACGAGTCAATGAAAGATGAGAGAGAGGGCGGGGGGGAGGAGGTCCTCATTCAGCAGTGGATTTATCATGGTTGTTGAAGTTGATGATATTTGAACCCAAAGGGGCAGAGACGACCAGACGTATACCTTTACGATTCCTAGGGCTCATCAATATTTCCCAACGCTCATAGACTGGGTCACTTTCATAGCGAGCATAGTGTCTGGGATCGTATTAACGTGGATGATATTCTCTATATGAAGTGCGTGCCGACAAACGCGCACGTGGTAGAAAACTGGCAATATTTGCAGCAAGAGACCTTGGAGAATCTGATTATACAACAGCCTTCCCGCCAGGCCCCAAAGGGGAAAAGGTTGGCAAAAAATCACCGTGAAATAAAGTCATACACATGCCTACCGAATATCATTGCCTTACCCTATAACATACATTGTTATTTGTTTTTAATATGAAAAAAAATACAATATCTCACACTCTCAATGTTTATTTTTTCCTACCTATCCAGGTTGTTCACAATAGCTGATTTTATAGTTGGTGTGAGCGTACTTCACTGCACACGCACATCGAACAAAGATTCAGCAAACTGTGCAATGTATTTATAGGAGCATTGGTCTAAAACGTTGTGAAGAGAATCTAGGATTTAAACATTTGCAGTCATGTATATATATATCTTAAAATATAGTGACCTCATTAAAAGAGTGAATGTCATGACGTATTGATAACTGAAGGCAATGCGTTTTGTGTATCTGTGCTTGTGTCTGTGTTGGACGTATCGAAGCTTCATTACGGTTCATAATTAAACTAATTATCTGGTGATTAACAACACAAACTCAACACATTCGTCAAGAACACTGTGGCCTTGAAATATAATGAAATATAATCGTTGACATTTTGGGCAGTGGATCTCCTTTATAAGTCAGGACAAATGTGTTGAGGGATTTTTGTTGTAAAAAATGTGTTAAATTTCATGAGAGTGCCTGCACATTCACGCCAAATTCTGTCGCACATTTTCCGCAATCCTAAATCGTGACAATTCATCAAATCTCTTGTGAGTGGTATAAACCAAAAAAAGATATATCCCCACGATTAATTATCACTATATAGCTGTTTAAGGATGGCTGAAACATATATTCTTGAATGTAGCTTAACATTTAATGCCTGTGTAACTTTACGTCTCCGTTAAACCAAAACACAGAGCTTACATGCACCTGTACCTAACTTTTCTCCGCCACCATTTCGCTGTCGCACTATGTTGCACCGTCTTTTGTTCCCCATGTGCCGGTTTTATGACCGTTACATTCCCTATAGCTTTGCGAGTTGTGCAATATTTTCTTCAGTACCCTCCTGCAATGTCGATTTTTTTAACCTTTCTTTTTTTGCTGCTACTGCTGCTGCTGCTCCTGTGTTCACACAGCACCCGTGGATCTCTCTTGTAAGATAGCCAGAGAACTGGCTAAAGGCGATCGTACGTGTAACAAAATAAAATTAACCCAAACTCTTTCCAGCCCCTTTGTAAACCTACTGCTGGACAAAGGCCCCCCCCCCCATTCTGTGCGTCCCGTCATGTGTGGATGTCGGATTGTGCTTCGCACAAGATCAGTTTCGGTGGGAAGCTCAGTAGCTACTATTCGTGTAGCTATTCATATGCCAATAAAAATAAAAATTCAAATCTTATCAGAGCCCATCGTGTCAAGTGTGCAGTCTGCAGCTCATATACGCTCTAACCTCCTGGCTTCCCTAGTTGTGTGCTATGATGAAGGGCAGTTGCCAGAAACGTTGCCTATTGTATATATTTTTTCCCTTTACGTTCACAGTGTTGTTGTTAATTTGGTCGAGTTGTTTTGTTGTTGTTGTTGTTGTCCATTGTGCTTGTGTACCACGTCTAACGCACGGTCGCCAAATAATGAATGGTAAGGAGGCCCTGGACCAGGTCAGATATCGCTCGCTACTGATGCCAGCCATGTCCGGGAATCGAGCTCAGGTCACCAAGGATCGTATGCGAGTGCACGGACCACTGCCCCACCACTCCCCCTCTGTAATTCCTTCTTCATACGCCACTGCTGGCAATGGATACTCACGAGATGGCGCTCTACAGAGCCCTTCTCGAGGGTATGTTTTCCTACTCTTCCACACTGGCAAGATGTTTTTTGAAGGGTTTGGCACTTTACCCCGGCGCCCGTTGCAACCTGCCGATCGGCAAACCCCGTTCATACCTCTGGGTGGACAGAGGCGGCGGGAGGTGGTTTCGAGAAACTCGCACCGTCGTTTCAACCCCAGCGCTCGGCGATCGAATCGAACCGGCGACCCCCTGGAGGGGAAGTTCGTTGTGCGAGCCATCCCACCACCGCGGCAGCATTCATCCGAATAATATCATTACGACAACTCGATCCTATTAAGGGGGAGACGGCTCTCCTCGCGCCGCGACCCCAGCGCGAGCACGCGCGCGTGCGCGCTCCTTATCTCTGCCGCCGCTGTCTCCCAACCCCCAGGCTCGTCTGAGGCCGGACGGCGTGGCGGGGCCAGACGGCGTGGCGGAGCCGGGAGCTGCGGCGACGGAGGAAAAGTCCACGCAGACGGAACGACGGCGCCGGTCCTCGGTGAGTCCCGAGAGCTGCCCTCCGTTCATTTTTCTTTTTTGGCGCCGCTCGCTTGGAGGGAGCGTCGCCGGTCAGCCGTAGCCAGCAGGTTCGGACGCACGCCCCACGGACCTCTGAGCGAGAGACGGCGTCGCGAGCGTGTGCGGTCACGAGGTTGTGCGGTCACGAGGTTGTGCGGTCACGAGGTTGTGCGGTCACGAGGTTGTGCGGTCACAGGCCGCGACAGGACGCGAGGCGACGCGCGAATGAGCGACGGGGCCTATTGCTCGTTTTGAACGTCGCTGTGCACGTCTTTTTTTTTCACATGTCGCGCTGTACAGCTGCTCCGACGTTATTTTGCGGGTCGTTTGTTGTCGTGACGTCCGACGTTTCGCTGCACGTGCTGGCTGGCTTCAGGAACGAACTGAAGACACATCGAGAGTTCATTTCAAATGATGCCCCCCATCCTCACCCAATGGTGGAAGTTTTATGGTTCTCTTGGCAGAGGTCAGTCTCTCCAAAGGATGACCGCTGCTCTAGTCAGCCTCTGTTTCTCAAGCTCCAGAAGCTGCCTTCCTCCTCGACCGTGGTGCGGCTTTCTGTGATTACCAACTATCAGGTGCACGCAGTGTGTCGCAGCTTGACATGCGTATGAATGCAAAGTGTGGAAAGCTTCACCCGTGGTTTGGTTATGAAGACTTGAGGTTGGCAAAACGACACAAAACAAATGAGGACATCGGTGCAAAGTTTAGGCCCTTAGTATTGCTTGACGCACAGATCGAACGTTGCTGGCACCAGTCAATGTCATGGGAGGCGATTCAGGTGATACTATATATGTTGTCAGTAATACGTGAACTACTTTGTGGGAAATCATCAGGGGCTACTCATTATAGGATTGGGCCCTTCCCATGATAACGTGGAATTTACATGAATGGCACAGGGTCATTGATGGATATGATTCCTGGCCATTTCTCTCGTGAGCAAGGAACAAAATTTGATTTGTGGTTTTTCCACGATCCCTGTCCAGTATATGTTTCCAAAAATGCATCATCGTGCATTACTTGCAATGCAAAATGCTGGCTATGTACGTTTTGATTATCTCTTGTATTATGATTTTGGATTAATTTATTAAAGAGGAATTTAGCACTCCTCTTAACACAATTCTAGAATTAAGCTCTATACCATATATTTTTTTTTTATTTTGTTTATTTTTTTCATTGGTCTGTGATTGTTTTCGCGATCAATAATATGTTACGTATTGAACAACTGCTTTCTCATAATTGTATTTTCGTAGAATTGTGTACCCACGACACATTGTTGAACTCGTCTTATTTGATCTCAAAATGCTTGGTCGGGTGTGAAAAATATCACCCCAGTTATTGTTTTTTTTTAAGTATTTTCATGCACCTACGGACGAGTATTTTACATTTAGTTTGCTTGATCCATATTAAAAAAGGAAAAAGACACATGCCATCTCAATATGCTCTCACCAGGTTATAAATAAGGGATCAAGATAAATATTAAATTTATCCCATTTTCAATTCATCCTTTTAATTTCCAAGGGAATTTGTCTCCCCGCTCAATCCTCCACACTCTGACCCAGCCAACCTTTGTTGTCACACCCCTGCACCTAACCCCCCCTCAGTGAGCCCAACCATCCCCATCCCCTGCATCGCGCATCCCACAATTTCCACCATTCCTCAAGCAACATAATAGCCATAACAAAAGCAAATAAATAAATATATAAACATATAAAACTAAAGTAATAAACCAAATGAAAAATAAAGGTTTGGTTTAGCATTTGTCAGATTAATAGTCGCTCAGATGGCCAGGATTTATTGCTATTGTCATGCCAGTTTTCAAGAGATGATATTTCCAGCGGAACATACGCTTAGCTTTGTAGGTGCTCCCCGAGCAATCCTGCAACACCCATCATTTGTACGGATGAGCTATGGGATTTTTTTTCAATGTTATTATTGTTAGCTATCTATCTGTCTATCTATCTTATTTTTTTGGTCGTATATATATTTTTTTCAAAATAGATTATTGTCTGAAATAGCTCAAACACTGCCTTGGGTATACTTTTTCCTTTTTTTGTCTGCTACCCTTCGGGGGAAAATTGGCAAAAGCTGGCCAAGAAATATAATATATTGCCGCGTCTCTGTCCATACCACAGCATATAGATATCAGGCAATAAATGAATAGGGACACAATACACAATATAGTGAAAATACGTCAGTTTTGGCAACGCAGCACTTTTTCTTAGGAAGTACAGATTTCATATTTTCATCGCAAACAACAGTATCCGTCCTTTGCTGCCTTATCGTTTTAAAATAGGGCCTACGGTTGAATTATCCGGCTGTCCCGCAGAGGCAGGAGAGTCGGACTGTCGGCACAGCCAATCCTTGGTTCCCCGGTCAAACATGCCACGCTGTTTGACGGCTCGAAAAAAAAAAACTGGCTCCGAAAATCACAAAAGGAGAGAAGAGTGGATAATGTGCTGGCATTTTCGGAGTAAATCACGCTCCGTGCAGCCTAAGAGGCAGCCATCGGGGTCGTCAAGCCTGGCCACCTTTGCCTTTTCAGCTCTGACGTGTACGTATGCATTTACGATGAACTTCTTTCGCACCTTGCGTAGCCAACCGTGCTCATCGTTGTTCACGTCCCGTCCCAAAACTGCTTTCAGATATTGCTCGCCTCTTGATTTTATCCTCGACCTGGAAGTCAAACTGCGGTTTCCAAATTGGTAGCGCAGTGCGGTGACCGCTGCGCTACTGCACGTGCACACAGACACACACACACACACGCGCGCACACTTGAAACGCACAGCCCTGCATCTGAACCTGGTTCCAGACACGGCTTGAAAATCGCAATAAGAAGCTCCGACTGAGTGCGAACGGAAGCAGAAGGCTCCACCTCCGACAATTATTTTTTTTATTTTTTCCCCAGAAAATGTCACTGCTGGGTGGTGTGCAACACAGATTCTGCAGTCTTCATCAAGGGGTTCCTCATGGCCCTAAACCAATGCACCGATTGTCATTCTAAATGCATGTGGTGGCCAGTCACTTATACAACATTACATATCCATAATGCAGGTTTTTTTTTGGGGTGAGATCACGTAAGTATATAAATGTGTCGTTAAACCCGCCACCACCCGACACTGCTAATAAGTAAGGTTTGTCATGTAAGCAGAACGTGCCAATTCGTTACTAGTACAGCACACCAGTATGTTGGAGAGCAAATCCACAGCATTTACAATCTGAGTACGACGTTTCGCTAGTAATCACAACTAGCTTCATAAGGCTACAGCCAGATTTTTACACAATCTAACCCAAAACAAAACCTCTGATGGATAATAATATTTGTCGCGAAAGCCCTACGCATTAAAATTACATATCTCGATATTCCACGGCACATTTTTTATGAAAATTCAAAGGAAGGTGAGTCAGTGCAACGCCTTCCTTTCTTTTTGTTTTACTCTTCCTATTAATTGCGAGATATCTGTTCGCTTGAATTCGCAGCGTTCAGGTAGCCATGCGTCGTAAACAAACAACAAAAAGTGCCCCCCGCAAAGATAGACGGCCGAACATCCTCTCGTATCAGGGGCACCCCCCTGAATGTGCGTTGGCGAGAGTCGGCGACGCTGATTTTAGGCAATGGAAAGGAATGATTATGACGTAGCTCACGAAGGAAGCTTTCTTGCCTCGCAATTGAGAACACGGAGGCGCCTCTTCATCGGCGCCCGCGTTTCTCCCCGCTTCCCTGACGCGGATAATTTTTTTTTTGTTCAAATGAACTTCGTTGAAGCGTTCCTATTTTCCGCCCTTTTATTTCTTTCCTGCCACGAGCCACGGCGAGGGCGCCACTGTCATTGTTAAAGCTGCGCCGCCCCCCCCCTTCCCGCTCGCCACATCGTCGCGACACGAGCACGTGAGCCCCCCGCTTTGTCTAACGAACAATGCCCCCCGGGCTGAAAGCGCCGTGTATTATTTTGGCGGCTTTTTTTGCCAGCGTCGTCTCTGCCTTTTGAAGGGCACGAGGCAGTTTTGAGAAACAGCCGTAAGTTATCTTCCTGCCGCTTCTAATCAAATCCTTAAAGAGTTCATTTGTCATTACTTGACACGTCATTTTCCAAAAGTCCCAAGGATGCTACGGTGTAGCGAATCTGATTTCCAGTTGCGGAGGAATTCAAATTCCCCTTCTATAAATAATGCGCATACATTTGTGTGATAAATTCCGCTCCATTCTTGAGCGCAATATTGCACTCTGCCTTTGGTATTCAAGTATCTTGCGGAAGGATGTTCATTGATTGCCACAAAAAAAATGAGCCCAAAAGTGCGGTTATCACGGGACCGTTCATTTTGTGATAGAAAAAATAATCACTGCATTTTTTTGGTGTAGCTTTGGAAGTAATAGCTGCTCGATTACATACCTTCATGTTTCATAACAAAAAACACGGTATCATTGACAGGTTCGCTAAAGCAATGCTAAACAGTGTGGAATACTGTTGAGAATGTTCTAAGAATTTCAAGTGCAGCTCCCAATGTGTTATAACAAGGCTATGGTGCTGACCTTGGATAGCCTGGGGTTCTGAAACACATACGCTTATCTATATGTGGTGGTGGTGGTGGTGTTGGGGAACGGTGGCGCAGCGGCTAGCACACTGCGCTACGAACCCGGAGACCCGAGTTAGATTAACAATCACGGCCAACACCAGTGACGATTATCCGAACCCGTCCTGGGCCTCCCTTAAGTCGATTCAGCTTGCAAAGAGTACCTCGTGCGATGTGTAAACATCGCCACTGGGGAGATAAAAACGGCTGGGCGTGGTATCTATGTACATACGTTGAACTTCTTTCACACCGTACGTTGCCAACCGTGCTATATTCAGAGGTGCTGGCTACCCACCCTTCATAGGTGCTCGCTAACTGCACTTGCCCCAACAGTTTGTTAAGGCTATACAAGGGACCTTTGTCTTTGGTGTTGGTGGAAGATTTATACAAAAAAAAACATGAATGTTT